ATGAAGTGATTAGTGGTGCAGTTTTTAAATGTTTTTTTTTTGGGTTTGGGGGAAGTTATCAAGCATTTTCAAGTATCAAAGTTCGGTGCACGGATCGTGAGATAAATAAGTTAAAGTCATAAGTCAGACTAAGGCAGTTTTAACTTTCAATTGCAGAAGGGACAGCTGGCAAAAGAATAGATAAGATCATTCCTCCTCTCTGAGCACAGTCATGCTGCATTCATTTGCAAGGAACATTTCCTGTGATCCTGAATATCTGATTCAAATGAGGGTATTTGGGACGTGGTGGTGGTTTTAACACGGTGTGTTAAAAGGCCTGAGTGGCTTTATTGTACCAACAGTGCGTAATGTTCAGGTGATAATGCAAATGCACATATAGTTCTATATTTCTGATTAGTGGCGCAGTTTTTAAATGTGTTTTTTTTGGGCTTGGGGGAAGTTATCAAGTATTTTGAAGTAGAAAGGCTCAAGTCTAAATAAAGTCACTGGTGTTAAAACCAGTAAAAAATCATCACATTTATGACTCGAGTCAACACCTCTGTTAGTAATGAACAACATCATATTCTTTGAAGTTAATGCAGCGCCAGTTACATAATAAGAAATCACAACACAATCTCTCTCGCAGTTTCTAAGCTGAAAACTGAAGTCATTTGTATCGCCTGCTTCCGTGTAGGTGTGACTGTGAACACAGAGTACAATGACAGTCGCCCGGGGCTCTGCTACGCTTCTCTGCAGCATTTTGAACTTGCAAGTACATGTGGCATCCTCACCAGTATCCCCCGAGCCTCTCTAACCTTGAATGCTCTGTAGCAGGGACCCAGCCTCTCCAAAAGCTGTGGTGCTTTCTGTCACCAGTGGGGGGAGCTCCAATGCAAAGAGCTGCTGATTCAGTGACGGTGATGATTCAGAACTCTGAGTTCAGCTTGATTTCATCTTAAAGATTCATTTGTTGAGCAGCTCTAGTTGCAGCACCAGCCTCTTGGACTTTTTGTATTTAACACTTATGTATCCAAGATTGAAAGTAAAATAAAAATGGGAATATGCTTGAAATGAAAATGTTATGCATGTTATGTTATATGAAAAACTAAGCTGGTGGGAAATGTACTCATTTGAGCTTGTATTTGTTTAGTATTTGTTGCTTTTTACCACAAATCTGACCCCATAATTGTGCGGCTCCTTTCAGGTGAGCAGACTGAAGCCCTGTTCACCCGAGAAAGAAGAACAGTCGCCCCGAGAATGTCTGGGAGGTTTCAGTAAACACACACACACACACACACACACACACACACACACACACAACCGGACACACTAAAGCAGGGGTTCTTAACCTTTTTGACCTCGGGGCCCAACTTTAAGTACAAAGTGTCCCGGGGCCCATTCAAATATTAACACTGTATTAGTTTAACTAATTGATCTCACTCTTGGTTTGATTTGTATTCAATAACTATATTAAATCCACTTACAGTTTAACAAGCAAAACCCTTGTCAAATAAATGAGATGCTACAATGTGATGATCACAAAGACATTTATTTATCATGTGTATGTAAACCTGCATACACAACAAGAAGCCCAACAGGCTTTCCCACGAGCGTTGGATGTTTCGTCGCCAAGTGTCGCTTTATTTTTGAAGGCTTTAAATAAAACCAAATAAAATTAGTCTGGAGCCGCAAAAGCTATTTGATATCACAGCTTATAAAGTGTTATATATATACAGTTATATTATATATACAAAAACTATAGTTTGTTGTATTTCTGAAAATATAGAACAAGAATAAAGACAATTCTTGACATTTTATTGCAATTTTACCTGATATAACAATATCAAACTCTTATGAAGAGGAGAGTTTGCTGCAGCAGCTGAGGAATCATCTCCAGCGTGACACTTCAGCACATGCTGTGTGCTTGTTCTGGAAGCATAGAGGTAAATCGGCATCGTTGGCAGTGAAAGCAAATGAAGACGTCCACGCAGAGTTAAACTCTCTATTTTCCTCCGTGACTTTTCTTTTTTTGGATTCATCCATTGATAGATTACCGGGTCTGAAAATAATGATGAGCCGTTCGCGTTCACGGGGGAAAAGCGCTTGACGGGGGTAGAGGATTTAACTGCCTGTGGGAATAATTAACATATAAGATTCTGTTCATTCTTGCTTATAAATTATATTCTCTCTGAACACGTTTCTCTTTTTGGAGAACGTCATGCGAGATATCTTCTTAGATCAGCGCCTGCTCTTCTTTCTATTTCCTCGTCTCTCCCCCGTGTGTCACGGTGTGTGTAAACCTCGCTCGAGTCAGGAAACATGTCAGAATACTCGTATTGAGCTGCATCACCTGATTTGCAACGCATTGGTCGGTGTGTTTCCTGCACCGCCGAACAAGTACCGTAACGGCTGGATAAGACGCGCCGGTTAAAGTATAAACTCAGTGCCTAATATGTATAATTCCGAATTATCAATCGGATTTAGGGCCTGGATCCGGTCCGCCTGTTGGGGACCCTGATGTAGACTCGGGGAGCCGCAACAGAGAGGCTGAAGAGCCTCAGGTTGCCGACCCCTGGGCTAGCGGCTAGCTGAGTGTCTTCTTCTGCTTATTGGAGCTTGTTAAACAACTGACTGACGCATTACCGCCACCAGGTGGTGGGAAGCTATATTGTAACTGAGCGTCTCATGGTTAACAGTAATATCTCTGGTGTCTTCCCGCGGCCCTCGCGGCCCACAGGCGCAAAACTGAAAGTTTTTTGCGGCCCTCTACGTGGCGCTCGCGGCCCAATCGTGGGCCGCGGCCCCATGGTTAAGAATCACTGCACTAAAGCACACAGAGGAAGTACTCCTGCAAATGAAAAAAGACAAGAAAAGTAAATTAGTTATCTGTTGCCACCTGCTGGCCGAAATCAAACGTGCAACAAGGGCCTCAGAAACTGAGAAGAGTTGATCAAATGTAGAAACATCGATGTAAAGAGAGTATTACAAATCCTAATAATCTTAGTGGTCTCGATAGAAATAAGCAATATAAAGAAAGTTAAGAACCGACATCGGTCAATGAAAAAAAAAAAGTATATAAAATATAAATACATACATACATACATAGTAGTCATCATCCATCCAAATGATAAGTCCAGGCTTTATGCAGCGAGTACAGCCCAACAACAGACCGTCTAACTCTAGACATGTTATAGAAGGGAGCTCAGTTTCAGTCTTTTCTACATAAGATAAAAATGGCTGCCATAAGTTATAGAACTCACTACTTTATCTTAGGTGGAGGAACTTGCAGATCTAAGAGGAAAGGCTGATGAGTTAATTGCATATTGGATGTGAAACAGAATGAATGAATGAAACAAAGATGCGTTCTTGAACCAATGGCGACTTCATGAGTCTGTGATTGATGGGAAAAAAAAAAACCCAGCAGGTCTCTGAACTCTCTCTGAGTTTCTCCTCAACTGGGACACCGAGGCCGGTGGAGGAGGGAAGTGAACCAGCGAGCCGACCATCAAATAAATATGCAAGAGACGGGATAAAAAAGCTAGAGGCAGGAGAGAGGGAGAAAGAGAGTTCTAAGGATGAATGAAACGGAGGTAAGTCCACCAACACCACCAGTGACATGAGCCAAAAGCACTTACTGACCCTGAGACGCACGCACGCACGCGCGCGCGCGCGCACACACACACGCACACACACATTGCGGCCTTCTTTCCCCTCCCCTTTCTGCGAAAGGAGGAAGTGGTCTCATAGCTGATTGTTTCTCAGGAGTTAGTACGACATGCGGTCATGTTCCTGTCAGAGTGACTGTGGTATGAGATAATATCACTTACAGGCTCTTAGTGGAAGATCTTGAGATTTTGACTTCTCCATTGAGGGATGATCACACCAAACTCATGCTCATGTCTCATGTCAAGCTCCCCGTGTTGACTTAGGTCAAGTAAGAACACGATCACATAATCACCAATTTAAAGATACAGTATACTGAAGGTTTTTATGATATGTGGCCAAATCTTTGTTTTTACTGTAAGACATATATGTAACACCTGCTGTCTTGTGATATATGTCAAAATGTCATCTTCAAATGGTTCCCAAAAGCTACTTTTATTGAATAATATTACATTTCAGACGAAATGCAGACGTGGAAGAAGTACTGAGATCTTTTATTTAATTACAAATAGAAAATACCACATTGTGAAAAGTACTCTGTTTCAAGTTAAAGTGGAATCATTTCAAGTGGAATCAGCACTGAGGTGCTTTTGAGCACGAAACTGAATCCTTTCCAGCTCCGAGGATGCTGCTCCGTTAAACATTAGACCTGCCTCCATCTTTTCTATCATCCTTCAATGTGTTTTGTAGGCACATGGCTGTTTAACAACACATAAATACCACAAAATATATATTATAAATAGTCCTTTCCTGAATTTTATGTTAGATTTTTAGCACATTTGACCAATGGTCCTCAACAACTCCCTCCACCTCTCCCTCTTTCAATTAAATAATGCTTTGTCACCCTCTCCCGAGGCAGAGTGAGGGGCCGTATTCACTTCACGGACGGCCCTCTTTTGAGCTTAACAGGACACTCCGTACAGACGCTCTTGGACACAGCAAACGCCGGGCACAGATGTTATGAATAGGGGGCTCTGTGGTGCTCCCTTAAAACGTGTTTGTGTGTGTGTGCTGCAGGGGGTGGTCTGTTGGAGCCGTTTGTTGGCGTGTGCACGTGTGCCAGAGTGCATTTGTGGAGAATTTGCATGTGAGGCCCCAAAAATGTACATCTGTCTATCTGTGTGTGTTCCTGTGCTCTTTTTTGGACATTGTGCATTCAGGTGGAGGTGAGGGAGGGAACAACAAAATATATTGGGAAAATAAAAAGTTGTATTTTGAAGCTAATTCCAGTATCATGCACATGTGGTCCCTTGAGTTATTCTGATCCCGAATTGAGACCGGGGGGGGGGGGGGGGGGGGGTGGCGATTAATTATTACAGCAATTACACAGACGTGAGGGGGACACAACAGGAATTCAGGGGTGAGGGAGAGAGAGACAGAGGGAAAGCGTAAAAGTGAGGGAGAGAGAGAGAGAGATATGCCTCTTATAAAGCCAAGTCTTGTCTCGTTGGGAAGAATTTGTGAGCAGTGAGACCGGGCTTCGGGTCAGAAACAGGAGCCCGATGAGCCAATAACTGTCTCCATTAATTCTCCTCGATGGTGTATCAGGACAGCAGGCTAATGAAGTTATTCTTCTCGCAGAATTACAGTCCGTATGCGTATGGCAACAAAGCTGACATGTGGACGAAAGGCTGAGGCTCCGGGCTCCTAACTCCTCTCTGCACGAGTCAGTTAGATTGCATCCCAGCTGTAAAGGTAAGCAAATGAGTTCCTCAGCAGAGTGCAATGGAAATACCTGAGAAATAGATAAAGAATTTGGCATGGCAACAAAATAGATTTTTTTTTTAAATTAAGAAATGAAATACAGTTCTAATACAGTTAAGGTAAGTTTCTTTGTTCCACTTTGTAGTACAACTTTACTATTAATGATTCGTTCATTTATGTCATCTTCCATTTATTAACTAATGTGTATTGCTAATGTATAATTTCCATTTTCCTCTGATAATTGTTATATTTCACAGTAAAAATACTTAAAAATGTCAAACAATTTTGAAAAATCTTTCTAATTTGGCCGAATCTTAAATGTTGAATGAATGTGAAATCACATATAAGCTCACAGAGGCCATCTTACACTGAATTGACCAACTCTTACCTGTGGAGGCATAATGTTCATTTTTGTAGGCTGATGAACAAAATGTAGTGAGCAAATTACATGACAGCGAATAGCATCAAAATGATCACATTATGAACTGGCGAGTTTAAAGCTGTCCTCTAAAAAACCCTCAGATGTAATTTGGTGCAGAGACATCTGTAGAGTTTGGTGCAAAGTTTCCCAGGATGCACTTTAGAGAATAAAGCTTAAATATCAGTTATTCACATCCAATCAGAGCATCAGATTCGACAAACGCTTTTATCCCGTGGTTGTGAAATACACATACAGAATTTATTTCCAAATGCGGCAAATATACTAATGTGAATCTTTAAAGGTTATTGATAAAAATAAATGAATCGGTTCACAACGTGAGTAAACTGTCATTTATTCAGCGGTCGGTTCTGTGCAGACTCGGTGTTTTACAGTTTTCCTATTAAATCAATAAATCCATCAAGAAGTGAGTTATGCTCGCTTAAGAACCCTCTTAAATTATATTAGTATCTTTTTATTTTTTATTTTTTTAAATTCAAGTTTACCTTGAATACATCCCCATCACTACCAGAGTATTATATTGTAAAGTATCCATCTGATCAGGAGGATTCTATTGAATAATTCTGACGTATGAACTGCAGGAAAAAGAGAAGGAAACACGGAGATGGAGGCTTCAGAAGAGTCATTTTCATTAAACAAATATTATTTTTTCATTCTCTTCTAATAAATCTCATCAATATCTCTATGTCGACACCTCGTGCGTACTGTAGAAGCTGATAGAGTGAAATTATTTGAAGTAGAAGAATGAAAGAAAGGTAAGAGCGAAGCTGATGGAGGGAGAGAAAGAAAAAGTGAGTGAGTGAGTGAGTGAGTGAGGGGGAGACAGAGAGGGAGAGATGAAGGGGGATTACTCCTCACTCCAGAATACTAACGAGGGCCTTTTGTCACAGATCTTTTTCTCTCTCCCTCCCTCTCTTCCATTCTCTCGTTTTTCCTTTCACTCATCACACACACTCACACTCATCACACACACTCACACTCACACTCACACTTACACACACACAGACTCTCTCTCTCTCTCTCTCTCTCTCTCTCTCTCTCTCTCTCTCTCTCACACACACACACACACACACCTATACACACACAAATAGAATTGTGCACTCTTATTCAAATAATTGCACACACAGCATGCATTCAAAATCATACATGTGCGCCTACAGTCACACATATGCAGAAATAAGCATGTAATTGCAATCCCACTCTCACATAATCACACCACACACACACACACACACACACACACACACACACACACACACACAC